ACTGCTGAATGTAGAACTGTTCCTGACCTGGGGGGAAAGCTGTGTTGGTTTGAATCTTTTATTTCAGGGGAGCTCCCCAAAAAGATCAGAAACAAAACTAATAGTTCATCTTGAGAAAAACAAGTTCTCTCCTGGGTTTGTTCCCCTATAATTATTAGCAATCCAAATTCCATAATTCTCACTTGAGAAGAGGCAAGTCCAGTATCCAATGACATTAAACAAACTGACAACCTCTTTCAGAGGTATTATAAAACCCACAGTTTCAATTTTCTACGCCATACTAAAGACAGGCAAAATCACACAAGTTCTTTTATTCAGAATATTAAAGAAATTAAGACTGATTGTTGTCACAGTCCATTATAAGGTCCTCTCTGGGAATTTTCAGTGGATTATTCTTCAAACTATCTTCCATTGTAACCACTCTTCAGTGTAGGGGAGTGGTTTTGCCTTTTTGGAAACATCAAATGTTACTTAGAACCAAGAGTGGTGAAAAAAGATCACGAGAAAGGGCATACATTCAGATGCTGAAAGTGATACTAATTAGATAATAATACAACTGATTTTCTTATATTTTTAACATAAATGGTGGTAGCATAATTAAAATAAGTATTATTTTCCCAAGTAAAACTAGATGCCTTTGAAGGGAACACTCAATTAGATGTCACAATTCTGATATGTCTGCTAAAGAAATCACTAACTATAATCATATTCACAAGTGTCCATTTAAACCTTATCTCCTCTGAGGCCTGTGTTTTCACTAGGACTTGAATTTGGTGATCTAGTTATCTGAATGCTATAAAGGGGAAAAAAAAACAAACCCCAATTTGTGATGTTTTCTGGTTCAGTTACTATTTTGCACAGTTGGAATAAAAGCAAACCAGAAACACATGCCTACAGTATTTGTCCATTTTAAAATAGCAGATCCTTAATTACACAGTTTACAATAATTGAAATCTGATGCTGTTGGAATAGGTAGATGCATGTGTGTAGTATTAAAAAAAGGAAAATCTATGTCCAACATTCTGTGATGACTTAGGGGTCTCTTCAGATAACCAAGAGAGCAACCCGGGTTAGCGAAAGCCTATTATAATTCTCTAAAATATAAATACTACTATAGTAATAGTAAGAGCTACGGAAGATAACTGAAGGACATCAGGATTATCTAAATCCTTCACAGTCCTCCTAAAGCATCATAATAAACACTGAGAACCCTAGAATTCTACAATCTTAAAACCATCTGGTCCAAAGTCATCACTGTAGTAAGGAGCAGCAGCTCTAAGAAGTGAAGCTCCTGCTGAAGGCCACTGGGCCAGGGACCGGCAAAGGCCAGGAGGAGCTCCCAGGCGGCCTCTCCTGCCCGGATCTCTTCTCCCACCACCCACATCTATGAAATGAAGTGGATGAACTAGAATAATCTCTAAGGTCCCTCTTGGAGCTCAGTCTACAGTTCCAAAGTTCTATCAATTATTAGCACACTATGCTCATCTCAAAAAAACCCTTTTAACTCAGGGATGGTGCTATAAACGAAAAGAGGCCCCATTTATTGAGTCACTCACATGTTTTCTTTAACAGAAAAATAGTTCTATCCTTTGAAGCCTTACTCCTAAAGAACAAACTCAAGATAATTTCATGTCATTATCCCCCTCAGGCTTCCTTCCTCCACCCAGTCTCTGGTTTCTACTCTGTTCACTTTCATTAACATTCTCTATTAAGCTTTATTGAGCCAGATGACTAGATAATACATCTCAATGTAATTATGGGTAATACATGAAAAGGACAATTGAGAGACACCTAACTTCGAAACTGTACTCTTCGTGGCTTCAATTACATTGGGAAGCTAGATATTTCACTGTATTGCTAACATGTATGTATGGGAAAAAATCAGGTTGGAAAACATAGGCATAAAACATTATTCTTATTTAAAAATAAACTATCTCCTTCATTAGTTTACATATTCTATGTCTGGGAAAAAGAACACCACTTTGATCTTCAGTAATAATCCTGTCCATAAAAGGGACAAGTCCCATTTTCACTGTCCAATCAAGGAGAGCTTTTCAAGCATATCTTTTTTAACTCTCAGTAGGAAGGTTGTACCTCCCTCAATTCTGGGAATGATTCATTATCCTAACAGAGGCCTGTACGTCATGCATCTAGTTTCAGCTGGCATGGAAGTACTTAAAGTCAGAAGGAAAACTGAAAAGTTCTGACTTTTCCTCTGCTGCCTTTCAAAGGCTTTTGAAGCTTGACCTCTGGGGTCAAAGCTTGACCTCTAAGGTACAGTATGTTGCAGGCTATTGTTGCTGTTCAGCTTTTTTTCCCTCTTAAAGTGCAAACATGAGGAAACAGGAACAAAGGTATGAGACAGGGAAACAAGCAACTGGACCTGGAATTTTATTCATACAAATCTGATCAGCTAAGAGGTTCCCTTTTGACTGTGGAAATGGCACTCTAGGAAGAGAACCAAATGCGGTTCTCTGTGCCCACTTCTTTTCAAAGGGTGATTTTATAAAACTGTTTTGCATGTAAGGAAAAAAATATACTTTAGTGAGGAAGGACATGTACAGAGGGTGATCATGAGGCATGTTGTCACGTCAGTGCAGGGACCTTTATTTATTTTATGAACAATATTCTAAGGTTAGTGAGAAACTGCTTTGTTTTGTTTTTTAATCTAAGAAGCCAAGGAAAACCAACTGAACATATTTCACTGGCTGTATCCTTCAGTTCAAACATCAGAGAGAAAGAAAGGTAAGTAGCCAGAGTCAAATTGTGCCTAGTGTGTCTGCATACTTATTTCTGATTATCTGAAAATAAACAACATGCTTATTCTACAAAGACAGAGGACCTGCTGAAAGCTTATAGCAACACACAAGTCTATTCAAAATGATTCCGTATGTTACACTGTAGGGTTGCCGTGTAGTTAGTTATACAAGGGAAAGAGATCAAAACCCTGTACAGACACCTGATATCGGACTTGAAATGCCAAGTGGAAACAGAACTATTCAGTGTCTTCATTTATACACAATTTACAATATTTGATTCAAAATAAAAATCACAAGAAAAATACATCTGTTTCTGCTACAATTCCTTCCCTTCCCTCATCCACCCCCCAGTGAAAAGTCTTCTAATAAAAGGTATCATATTACCATATTGTCTTGTTTTGGTCTAATTCTGAGATCCCGGCTTGAGATAGTTAAACACTAAAAGGAATGGCAATACTTGGAATTTATATAATATACACATTTTATCCAAGGATCTCAAGTACTTGCGGTCACGTCTCCAGATCTGAGAAATCACGGTTCAGTGGAAGCCAGAATGCTGGAAGGATGCTGGGCAGGTTGCATGGGGTGTAAAATCCCTTGGCTAAGTCTATGATCAAACAAGGTCAGAGCTGGTTGACTAGAGTTGGGCTCAATTTCTCTTTCCGGACATAAACCATCAGTCAGTTTTACCCTCTCTTAAACCGCACACCCATCTCTAGGTTATTGCCTAGAGTCAAGACCAACTGAAGAAGCCATGTCCTCAGGATAATGCAGCAGGATAGAAAAGCAAAAACAGAGAAACACATTCATCAGCATCTGGCCAGAGGAGATGGGGTTGGGAGGATCGATTTGGGAGGCCATTCCTAGCAAGAATGAGACAAAGGTGTCAGTTCACTAGTTTCAGTTACAGTTAAGCTTGTGGAGTCGATTCCGGCAGAGGTGAAGCTCATGGCATCTAGCGCTTGATGTAAGATAATGCTACTGAAGAAGGGTAATGAGGAAACACAGCAAACTAACAGAGAGGAACTGGCCAAAGAGTATCTGGAGGGCCAAAGTGATTTTCTTTCCTTATCATTTCTATGGGAGAAGGCAAGGGATAGAAGATCAGGGCTAGAGGGCCCCTTATTTGCAGATTTAAAAAAAAAAATCATTTTCTTATAACTCCGTAATGAAAATGTGTATTACGGTATGAAGGTTACAGAACTGCATCTGCTACTGGGTCACGGCTACAGGTCTATGAGCTGATCCACCAGCAGCAAAGACCTGGCTAGGTTGGGAAGACTGGACTCAGAGCTCCCACTGCTGTTTCTAGAGTGCCCACCTGGAAGTGGAGAGATAGGAATTCAGTACAAAACACATAGGGTTAAGGTTTAGATGTGCAGAATAAGCGAAGGAGAAAAAAAACAAACTAAAACAAAAAAATCCTGGAAAAGCAACAATTTACATTTTGAAAACTTACATGTTAATTTTTAAACATATAAATTAGTTATCCACCACCTCCCACCAAAAGTTTAGGCACTGTGTGCATACCACACTGTAGGCAGGAGATCTTGCAAAGAGCATGCTATTTTCAAATGAGTATCTATTTTGCCTGAGAACTGCTGGCTGTACATAATTTCCAGATAATATCAACTCACTTCCCTGATAAAGTAAAAATCAGTAATTTTTGATTTGGGGAGGAAGTAGTTACTAAGGCTACTGCAATAAAAACATGCCTTAAGAATACATAGATGGCCTTATGGCAATTCAGTGCTTTATGGCATGTTCAAATGATTTTAACTGAACAAAGAGGGGAAAAAGGATACTCCACAAATGTCTAAAAGGTGCAAAATGGTGTCAAAGCATCATTATTAATCTCTTTGGGAAGAGTATTTATCACAGATTCTTATAATTATGATAAAAAATGTTTAGTTCATTTTTTGATATAGAACTTCAGGTGTCCATTTACTGAAGATCACTATTTTTAGCTTGATACTTTGTAAAAAACCAGCTTTTAGTCAAACTATTAAATACTTTCCTTCTCTCTAAATAAATATCACTGTCATGCTTTAAGATATCTATATTAGTATCTTTATGTGTACTTCCATCTATCTACACTGGCCCAGCCCACAATGATTGTTATTACCCCCAAATTCTTTCATTAAGTGTTAATGCTTTCCCCCCTTTCTACATTAGGCACATTCCTATTTTGAAGAGAGCTGATATCAAGCTCTTTTCTTTTCCCCAGCCTCTCTTTCTTACCTTGTGGGTTTTTGGTTATCAATACAGGAATAGGGTCAAACTCATCTTCTGCCACCTTGTCCGAGCTCTCAGGGACATCAAAACCTGAGATGAGATTACTATCTTCCGCAGCTTAATACAGAATGCAAGTACACAAGCAGAAACAACAGAGGTAGAGATCAGCAAATGAGAGAATACATTAGAGGTAACTGCACAATCACTGCTGCTTTTAAAGATGAAAATGCTTATTTTCCTGAGTTGAAATAAAAGCAGTAAAGCTGGAAAACTTGAGGAAATAGAAAAATAATGCTTTAGAGCTAGCCATGTTAAGACTTTTATAAACGAGAAGGGTTACAGGAAGAGTTCTCCCTGCCTCTATATGGCCATTAAATACAGTTATTGTGAGAGATCTCTTCAACATCAGTAATTCATAAAGGCACGGGAGTTAGTTTCATTTATCTTCTTCATTGAGCTAACAGAGGCTGGATTAACAACTTGAGAAAAACTCAAAACCAGAGATAGCAGGGAGATAATTAGTTGCCCTTTAAGAGGTATCCACTGTATGTGCTAGTGCTAAGTCACTTTGGTTGTGTCGGACTCTTTGCGAGCCTATAGACCACAGCCTGCCATATACAGACAAAACAAAATACTTCTGACAGGACTCACTGCCCTGTGATTGGGATAACAGACTTTCAAACTGATGTCCCAGGAATACTGGGGCACAAGATCGCATGCGCTGAGATTTAACACAGAAGTTTGCTAGAAATTCTTCTCCATTCTACAAGCAAGTACTAGCTGAGCACCAATTTTGCAAGGGATGCTTCTCTGTAATTATGCATCACAGCTGACACACTCCTGTCAGACATAATTGGCTAAAGAGGAAACTTCTCTCTACACGTTCTATAAAAACACAGTCATTTTAATGCTCTCAAGGATAAAAACAAAAACTCAGCTATTACCATTGCAAACTAAAGGCTAACTATTTTTCAGTCATATCAGCGAGGCTTCCTTCCTACATTTCCTTCAGAAAGGACTTAACAGCTGTTCCTTTTATATGTATTTGCTCCTTCTAGAAACCCACGTTCACTGTCTGAGCCCAGAAAGAAGTTGACTGAATGCCCATGTTCCGTGTCTGCCACTCTCACAAACCACTCAATGAACAGAACTCAATTCGAGCTATTTTTCTGTCCAGCAGAAGTTCAAATCAGTATTAACACAAAAGAAATAAAAACAGTAGACTAGAAACAGAAATCTAGTAATTAATCATGACTCCAAGGTTAACTAAAATTCAAACCTTTTCTAAGTTCAATCTTTGAGGACTGACTTTTGAGGAACAGTGCTTTTCTCTTTATTGTAATCATCACTACCAAAAAACCTGAAATCCGATTTAATGAAACAGTTTTAAGTTCTAAGGCCACCCAGTATCTAATTAGTCAGCTCGTGGACAGTCAGTCATCTCCCTGAGCTGACTACAAAGGCAAGCAGCTGTGTCTTTACAAGAAAGCATGGGATATCTGCATTAGAGGTGACTGTGAGAAAGCCACACTTCCACAGTCTGCCATCTCAGCCTGATTAAATATTCTTAGTGAAAGGAACTTTAACACAGGTGCTAAGAGTACAAACTTGAGTTTTCCACTCAAGGAGGGGGTTAGAAAACTTCACTAGCAAAGACTTTTGTTAAGGGAAATTCTCTTCTCCTCTAAGGATACATGTGGGCTCAAGAAGAAGAAAGTGTTTACCTTTATGGGCTGGAGCAGAGATGGCTATGGGGGCAAACTCTTCCAGAAGGTCAGTAGTGGGATTAGAAAGCAGAGAGCAATCAATCAGGGAATCTTCCCCGGTGAGAGAATCTAAGTCCAGATTAACAGCATCCCAGGTCAGTGACGGCATTAAATGGCACACACAACAATATCACAGGTTAGGTCTTAGCTTTTTTAGTTATTGCATTTATATTATACATATGAGCCAAGGTGAGAAGAAGAAAACCAAAAGAAACATGTTAAGTACTCTGGATTTTTGTCTACAGAAACATGTATTTCTAAACTTCTCTTAACAGTAATATATATGGAAGAATTTTTTGTTTGGAGGTTACTGGTTAAGCAAGTAAATGGTTGGGATGCCAATAAAACTTTGGCAACTCAGTTCTCAGCAAATGCTGTTTGGGAAAAAGGACTTTGCAGCTAGAGTTTCACTTAAATCTTCCCTAAAAGTTCACTGAAAACATTTATTATAGGATGAGGTATCCAAGCTGACAAGAAGCGGGTTGTCCTTGGCTTATTATTAGCAGAATATGACATGATTAGACAGCACTTTCTGGAACTCAACCCAATGCCCATTCAAAAGAGAATTATCTTGTCTCTTATTAGTACTCTTTAAATCTGAATTGCTCCTCTGAGCACATGATTTTGCTTTTAGTTAAGGAACAGAGGAAAGATAAAATTCAGAGTTCCAAGTATTTCAACATATGAATTGTTTTCTGCAAAAGTTTTCTAGGAGAAAACAGCCAAGTAAGCACGAGAAAAAGAACTATGTTGTCTCCTATCTTAATTCTTTTTTAACCTGGTTGAGTTTATTCTCATATTTCCCAGACTTCTAATTGTTTCTATTCCAAGTTGGCAAAGTGGACACTTTTATCAAGGTAATTATGGACTCGACAAAATGAAGGTTATCAAATCTCTCTTTAAGGAACTGTAGTTAAAGAATTCTACTAAGGGTGAACTTTGAAATTGGGTTAAAAGCAATGACAAAACTAGGGAAGATTTCAATTTTGCCTACAATTTAATAACAAATCATCTAGATATGATCAAAGCTCTGGGCTGGGAACAGAATGTTAACATACAGAGCATGAGTTCCCATGGACATGACAGATACTGTTGAGAGAAAGACTGCTCAGTACCCTGGGGGAGTTAGGGGTATCCTTACACCACAGATCTTTCATTAAGAAACTAGAGGGAACCTACACCAGTGAAAAAAATCTTAAGATTGAAACCAAAGAAAGCTCAGGAATCACTCTATAGAGAATACAGCCTCAAAAAGTGCTCCACGCTTTACCAAGGAAACACATCCCTCAACATCTAGAAGCTGGAGCTATAATGATGCAGAGCATCCTTGTGGGAGGAACTAACCAGGCTGAGAAATAAACAAGCCCAGGACCACTGGCTGCAGGTGGAACGTCTGACTCAGCGCTGCTGGCACTGACTAGTCCCTGCAGCTGTAGAGACTCCTGACTGACCTGTGCGGTTCGAGGTCACAGATTCCGTCTGAGATGGGAGGCGCTGAGACACTGGGGGCTCCAGTCCTGGTATCAGACTCTCAACAGCAACGTCAGCTTTTTCTTTTGTGACAGAGCATTAAGAGAGGAGAGGAAAAGGGAATCAGAAGGTTCTTGGGACGATTCTGCGAAGGCTTTCTTTTGCACCTCTCTAAAATGCCCATCTTGGGCGAGATGGAAAGCACGTTAAGATGCTTTCATTTTGTTGATTTGAGTGTCTGGGCTTCCCTGACCGAGCAGGCACTACTGTGGTTAATCATTGTGGCTAGTTTTGGTGATTCTCAGTTTTTATAAATTAAGGCAGAATGGGAGCCACCCAAGAAAACCTCTTATATGTCAGAAGACATAAGCTGAAGGCATGTTAATGTCTTCCAGGAATTGTGCTTTTCTTAAGGGATAAACTTAGGGGCAAACACGTTCTGTGTCTTGCAAAGGCAACTGGTCCATCTTGAATCCCATGCCATGATGTAGCTGGAGGTACTCTTTACCATGCAACACCCCTCAGCTGGAGGCCCATCTGAAGGGTCATGGCATTTCTGAGTTCTAGGACTTTGTGCCCCCATAGTACAGGGACTCCAGATATTTTATGGGTCTTGCCTGCCTTGTGGTTGGAGCACAAGAAAATGTAAAAGCAAGCAGATCAAGCCGCCAGATCAAGATTCTACTCCTGGTGCTTCACCATGGGGCAAATGTTTTCTCAGTTATTGACACTTGGCACACATGGAGGCCTTCTAAAGAAGAATCTGCTACAGGTAAAGACCACCTCAAAACCAACTTCTTTCACAAAGCTTTTGTAATGAAATGTCAATTTCCCCACATTCCCCTTCATTCATAAGAAATTCACTCTAGAAATCTCAGTGTTTCAAGAAAGGCATAAATAACAGCACTGCCTTCTGCTGCTGGGAGGCAGAGAAAACACTCCTTTGGAGTGATAACAAGGGAAATTAACTAGCCCTGGCTTCTGGGTCAGCACAAGGCAATGCTTCAACACCAGGAGGCTTTTCAGCATTTCTACTCCTCTGCAGGGTTATTCAGTAGGGAACTGTTAACCAGTGGGTTGCCATTCTTGAAACAGACACACATATCATGCACAACAGAAGACACAGAAAGAATGACTTTACCAATTACAGCATCAGAAGTGCTACCAAAAGGATCTGTCATAGGCAAGAGGTCAGGGAGCAGAAGAGAAGTGTCAGGAGATTTGAGTCCCTCAATTAGTTTTTCTAGGTTGGGCAGAGAAGTAAAGAGAAAGCAAAAATGTAATGAGATATTCAAGTAAGCCAATCATTTACTATATCCTATGCAAACATTTGAGTGGTCAAAATTTTATATAGGTTCGGCATAAAAACAAATATTGCTAGTATCTTGTTAAAAAAAGGCTCTCAAAGTTTAAAAATGATTATTTCCCCAAATGAACTAGTCACTTTGTAAGGCATTCAAGATGCTGCCTTAGATGTGTTTGTTTTTAAATTTGCAGTATAATTTACACTGAACAAGAATACAAGTTACCAATTTTAAAAGTACAGTTTGATGAATTTTCACAAATGTACACACAAGCACCACTGAAATAATGAAGCAGAAGGTTTCCTTCACCCCAAAAAGGACCTGTGTGCCCTTCTCTGGTCAATGCCTTTCCCTGACCCCCAGGCCCTGGCAACAACTGATCTGTGTTCTGTCCTTGTAGCTTTGCTTTTTCTATCATTACCTACATAGTGTGCAGTCTTTTCTGATGTCCTTCACTTAGCATGATGCACTTGAGATTCCTCCATGTTGTGGTACACATCAGCAGTTTTGTTTTACTGCTGAGTTTTACTGTATGAATGCACTTCACTTTGTTGATTCATTCATCAGCTGATGGACTTTTGGTTATTCCCAGCTTTAGTTATTAAAAATAAAGCTGCCACAGGAATCCCTGTAGCTCAGACAGTAAACAATCCGCCTTCAGAGCAGGAGACTCGGATTCAATCCCTGGGTCAGGAAGATCCACTGGAGAAGGGAATGGCAATCCACTCCAGTATTCCTGCCTGGAGAATCCCAAGGACAGAGGAGCCTGGGGGGCTACAGTCTGTGGGGTTGTAAACAGTCGGACACAACTGAGCGACTAACACTACTACTAAAGCTGCCATAAACATACACATATGTGTTGTTGTGTGTTCATATCTCTTTCTGAGCTTAGTTTTGAATCTCTCCCCATTTTTTTGAACTTGCACTTAGAAATGGTTTATAACTCACCAAGAGAAGCAATGAAACCACACCTAGATTTAACTTCCAACAATCATTCACTGTCTGCCAACTGACAGCTTGTGACACTCCCAGTACTCATTATTAAACTGTCAAATCTTATAAAATTCACTTAAGCCTGCAGGTGGATTACTTTTGATGTCTTTTGGCTAAAGAACAAAAGGACATTAGAAGCCACCAGATTTGTCACACCTGATAACTTAATGTGTGATAACATGCACACTAAGTTTCCTTCCAAGACAACTCTTTATAGACAACTCTTTCAACAACTCCCTACCTTTTAAAAGTAGAGCATTAACTTGACACAAAATAATGAATTACAGACTCTTATAGAAAGAAAGGAATTAAGAGCTCATACTTCCTTTTAACTTATAGAGACTGAGACCACACAAATTCTATAACTTAACTAAGTAAAGACCTGTCAACAATGTTCTTTTCTACCTCAGAAATAAACTGCCATTAAGATAAAACTATCTTGGGCAATTTTCTGCATACCGGCAAAAGTAAGATGGTTTTTCCCCCAAAATCTAATTTCTCATTATTCTGAGCACTGGCTTTGGTATTATTCCCACCTAACAAGGATCTTTTATGTTAAAAGAAAAGTGATGATCTGCTTCTTTCACTTCTAGCACTCAGACATTTGCAATCTTAAGAAGTGCCGGGTAAAAGGTAAAGAGTCTACATGTCTTGTTTGTCTTTCACCGGAGGCCTGTTTGTCTTGGCCTGTCCAGTGAGTGGGTGTGACTCTGGGGCTGTTCCTGAAACAGATCTCCTTACCTGTAAAATGCAGACATGTACCCCCCAAACTTTTCGTATTAGTCACTCAAACATCATCTCTAAGCCTTTCCCCACGCTGTCACAGTAGGAACTTTCTAGAACACTCTGATTTCACTTCTCTTACAGCCCTGAAGGCAGAGAAGGTAGATTCTTAATTTCTGATCCCCAGTTCCCGGTTCCCTCTCGTCACATCTCTGACTTTTGGCTTCATCGGAAAGGGGAGGAGAACAGAGGATTGATGGCAGAAAGGCAGGTCCTTCAACAAGAATCTAATTTTTTATTAGCCATTAGCAAAAAGCATGAGAGGGTAAAAGAATACGTGTGCACATGCGTGCATATGTGTGTTTATGGTGAGATAGTATGGGGTGGGGGTGGGTTAAATGGCCATGTTTAAGGAGGCTTCTTTATTGACCAAACCTCAAAGTAACAGGCTGTTCACACAGATAATCTGTATGGTCACTGCTACTTAAGAATATTCAAATATGGGAACTAGGGAAGGAGAAGCTGGGGTCAGAGTTAAAACTAGGCAGGAAACAAGGAGTGAGAGTCCAGGCCACAGCCTGTGCAGAAACAACTTCTTTCACTACCAGCACTCTTGCAGAGAGAGTGGGCAGTCCATTACTCAGTGCTATTACAACAAAGGTTGTCACATGCATTTGCAGAGTCCAAAGCCAAACATTCCCATTCATTATACACAAAACCCCCTGGGTTTGGGACTATTCATGCAGCTGAGAATGGACATCAGAGACCTTGAGAATGTGTGACCTGTCCAAAGTCACAGGTGGCAGAGACTGGACTTGACTTCAAATTTTCCTTCCCATGCTGCATAAAGGGTCTGCCTAGCTCCATAACCAGAGGAGGAGGACTTTTCACAGACATGGTCTCATGCACAATGGTCAAGTTATAAAAGAAATGTTAACACTGGAAGGAACTTCAGGTCTTATCCAATTAGCCTTCTCATTTGCAGATGAGGAAACAGCTTCAGAAACGTGAAGCCACTTGCCTAAGATCTTCTAGCAAGTAAGTCACAGAATTAGCTAGGACTAGGACCCAGATCTTTACGTACAGAGATTCATCCTTCTGGTTTAACTAAGGCTTCGATTGCTTTAAAGTGTACAAACTCAGGATTGGCCTGGTGGTCCAATGGTTAAGAATCTGCCTACTCGAGGGTGGGATGTTTCAAGAGAACAGCATCGAAACATGCATATTATCTAGGGTGAAACAGATCACCAGCCCAGGTTGGGTGCATGAGACAAGTGCTCGGGCCTGGTGCACTGGGAAGACCCAGAGGGATCGGGTGGAGAGGGAGGTGGGAGGGGGGACCGGGATGGGGAATACATGTAAATCCATGGCTAATTCATTTCAATGTATGACAAAAACCACTGCAATGATGTAAAGTAATTCGCCTCCAACTAATAAAAATAAATGGAAAAAAAAAAAGAATCTGCCTACTAATGTGGGGAACATGGGTTCAACCCTATCAGGGAACGAAGATCCCACATGCTTCAGGGCAACTAAGCCTGTGTTCTGCAACTACTGAGCCCTCGTTCTGCAACTACTGAAGCCCACACGCCTACAGCCCATGCTCTGCAACAGCAGAAGTCACTGCTATGAGGAGCCCACACACTTCAACTGGAGGGGAGGCCCCACTCGCCACAACGAGAGAAAAAGCCTGCACAAAGCACTGAAGATGCAGCACAGCCATAAATAAAAGTGTACAGACTCCTAGAATATACATTTTAAACTGTTACCGGTCATTTCTGGTCACTGTAAATGGAGAAACTGATGAGAAATTTTAAGAGAAATTAAAAGAAAGGCTCCAGGAGGCTGACAGCCTCTAAACCACAGCCTAGACGCCTCCCAAGTGTATCAAGGTCTGGTTTTGATATCTTTCATTTTACAAATTATCGCCTCTCTCACATTTTTATAAAAACACTTTGAAGCTGTGTATTATGACAGAGGAAAGAGTAGAGGAGAGGGTGGTGAATCTAGGAAACTGTGTGGGAAGTGTTCAAAACCTTATGACCAAGCCCCACACCAGCGTATGACTTGCCACCTAACGAACAAAGACTTATACAGTTTTACTTGAATAATGGGAAGTGGCTTCCCTGGAAGCAAAAACAAAACCCAAATTCTGGGACCGCTCATAGCTGAAATGCATAGAAGCTCACACTCTATTTCTCAGTTACACAAAGTGGCAGACCAGTGAAACCAAGAAATAATTTACAAATTGCATTTTGCAATGATTGAATCCTTCTAAGAAACATTTTACAAGAGTTTTCAACATCTTCTGTGTTAGAATCAGAAGTCCATGACCCCATCTTATTCCAGTATATGTGAAAAGCAGTGGACAATTATAGATAGAAGAAAATGATCCCAGTTTTGTATCAGTTCCTAGGCTGACTCTGGTATTTTCAGATCCGGCTTCAGATTCTACATGTGTGTTGGAGGGAGAGGGGAGAAAATTTCTGGATTTGGGGAGGTTGTTATTTATTTAATCTCTGACTGCAATACTGTACATTTTCAGCTGGGGTCTGCAAAATCCTATCAAATAAATAAGCAACATGAAAGAGCCCAAGGGCCTGAGTTTACATTAGTTACCTAATTTTTCTAAGCATCAGTTTTCTCACCTGTAAATACAGAATAATAACTACTTTAAAAGGTTGTCAGGATTAAATGGGCATATTTATTAGAAATTAATGTGTGTGTGTTTATAAATTGAAATACTTAGCACATAAGAGGATTAATGTCTCTTTTAAGTAAAAGGACTAGATGAGGTATGAGATTACAGTAGTGAAAATGGGTGGAATTCTAGAATTTACTCAAATGCCTTGGTATGAGAATAGAATAGGCAGAATTCCTTGAATAAGGTGAAGTGGGAGGTGGAGGCAGCATGTAGAGAGGAAAAAAAGGTGAGGGAGGTGGGAGGGGGGTTCAGGGTGGAGAGGACACATGTATGCCTGTGGCCAATTCATGTCAATGTATAGCAAAAACCATCACAATAAAGTAATCATCCTCTAATTAAAACAAATAAATTGATTTAAAAAAAAGAGTAACATTAAAGGTAAAAAAAAAAAAAAAAAAGAACCAGGGGACCTGTGTTCTGCACAAAGTCTGTGTGGCACTTTGGGCAAATCACTGTCTCTCTCTGGATCTAAGTCTTCCCACTGATATAATGAAGATAAATTTAAAGGTGCTATCAACT